TTTCGGTTTTCAGGCGTCGTAGGCTATGTAGGCTTTCACGGCCGGTTTAATCACATTCCTAAATGTACTCAAATGTAGTTGAAGTGTTGGAAAACTCACCGCCTTCATCAGTCCGAACAGTTTAAAAAGTGCAAATTTCTGGATATTTTCCGGCGTATCCAGCATCATTTGGACTATGGAATCAACGCCGAAACATAAACTTATCCATTAACGTTATTATAATCAATTTGGAGCCCGATGTCAATGGCAATGATATAATTATGTTAAAACGGGCTCTGGAAAGTGTCTCGCGTTTCGGCGCTGACTTTGGACCCCGACTGTATTTACTCGTCACAATTCCATTTTATGAAGTTAAAGAGATTAGATGGTATCGTTCCGAATAAAATACGTTACAGCGTAATAAATGGACAAAAGGTCAGTTTGTACACAGTAAAGTAAATGAGATAAAGCACGCAACACTGCTACGGTTTTATCGCTACGTGAATTTATTCACTAACTATAGCTTTGATTACGTGAATTAGATGTCTGCAAGCTCCATGGCTCTAAATTGCTCTTTGCTAACTCTACCTCAAATTTACAACCAGCGAAACATAGAAAAATTCATCAGAAATACTCTTAGTTTTCCAGGTTTACTGAGCTAGAATTTTTTAAACAGCTCCATGAGTGTTGAAACACTCCAAAAAGCCTCAAAACTTCGCTGATGCACTTGACTGTCAACACTGTTTGCATTGAGTTGAGTGACAGGGAACGTCAGAATTTACCCGTTTGAAAACTCGTGTTTTTTGGCAAAAATTATACTGTAGGATGGGGCGAATTTCCGTAACCGCTAGAAGACTGCTTTATTGCTGCGAACATTTCGAATTTTCTGCCCTAAAATGCAAAATACTTTATATTTCTTGCTCGTTTGTGGGAGGCCACAGCACAACCATTTTGCCATATTTTCAAGTGAAATTTTTGAAAAAATGCACTCACCAATAATCTGGATCTTCCAATGAAGTTCAGTCCATTAGTTTGGCCTCACAACGCTCCAAAAAAGCCTCAATCGATGCACTTAAATGTCAACAATTTGCGCACTATTAGTATTGAGTCTCCATGTTCCAGTTTGACAGTAAACGTCAAAATTTTCCCGTTTGGAAAAACCGCGTTTTTCGCTTAAAATCCACTGGTGGATCGGAAAAACACCACCAAACGATGCAGGGCAGGTTTATTGCTGGGAAAATCACTAACTTTTCGCCCGAAACTGCCAAATATTGCACATTTTTCAAAAAAGTCTTGAGCGTCAACTGCCAAACGTCCGCGCTATTCGCCAGTAAACAAATAAAATCGACATAACCCAAACAGGGTTAAGTTGAGTTGATTTGGGATAGTTTGGGGTAATTTTGGTTAGATTAGACGTATAAAAAGTCAATTTGTGCTCGAAAAAATGATAATCTCCTCTACTTATTGCTTCTTGGAAGCTCAAAACAACCTAAATTCTTCTTCTTCGGCGGGAGGTGAGAAATTCAGCCAACGTAAAGATAAACCTGCAAGAGCAGAGTAAACCGAAATAACAACAAAAAAGTTATTTATTGCAAAAATGCGGCGTTTGAAACAGTTGTATACCGAAAAAAAAGTATTATTTTTACTTAAAATACTGACAGTCTTTAGGTATTTTCTATGAAAATTATAAAATAATTTTTTTTCTGAAACCTAAAGCTTCGAGTTTTGGACAAAACC